GTATATATATATTATATACACACAAACAAGCAGGGAGGGAGCAACACAGGTGACAGACATGAGACTAATGAGACACAGGCAGGCAGGGAGAGAACAGAGGGGAGAACAGAGAGACAGCCAGGCAGAGGGATACTGGAGGGAACACACATGACACAGGTTAATGAACACATAACAGATCAGAGGAATAAATATAAACTAATAAAGACATAAGCAGACAGATCACCAAGAACTACAACCAACAATGAAAAACAGACTGAAGCTAAGATTAAAGAGAACACAGAGCAGACAAGGGCAACATTACACAGAGGTACACAGACCAAAAGTAAACGCTAAGACAAAAAAACTGAGACAGAACTAGGAGCTAAGATGCAGAGCTAACCGAGAACACAAGACCAGGAACCGAACCTCAAAACAGGAAACATGATAACAGACTAACAGACTGGAGTAGGGAACAGAGACGGAACCAACTGGGAATAGGACAACCATAAACATGGAACAGAATAGAAAATAAGGGAAATACCCAAACACAAAAGACAAAACAGATACTGGACAAAGGACGACAGATAGAACTGAACACAAAACTCAACATCTCTAAGACAGATACTGAACAGATCAAAATAACTAAATACAAAGACATTAACACTGGACTAGGAACTAAGACATGGAACCAAAACACATACCAAACTGATAAATGAATAAACTCAGAACTAAACGGAACAGATGACAGCACAAACATTCAGATACAAAACCAAACCCTCAGAATCAAAACCCAAAAACACAGCACTCAGGACAGGATCGTGACATTAGAGCAATATTGAAACCAACAAGAGTCTGTTCAGTCATTTCATGTAAGGTAGCCAGTACTGCAGAGTGTTTTCCTGTTGGGAGCATCATTCTACTCTAAAGATGATCACCATTTCCTATTTTTATCCAGGATTTGTTATGATCTGTGTTTGTTTGATTCTCAATTTTCCCATTTACATTTTTTTTCCTTTAAAGCAGTTTTGTTTTCAGTATCTTGTGACAGAGAAGAAATCCAACTCAAACAGACAAATTAATAAAACAATGGTTAATTGATTGATTGATTGATTGATTTTTATTTAGAAGGGACCATGTGCAATTAATAACATAAATGTAAACATTTGATGCATTACACCAGAGTTAGCCTTAGGCTAATTTACATCTGCAGTCGCTAATTAATTTGGTATAATAAAAAATGGTTTAATAAGTTAGTGTTGAATAAAACACCACAAAGTAAATGGTATTCAGCCCATGAACATTTAGTTTGCAGTATTTGTTTTGTGTTTTCAACTGTCAGCAGCAGCTGAGCTGGTTGCAGGTTCACACATCCTCAATCATGTGGATTGTACTGTTAGTCCTTCTTTAATATTGTTTCTGCACATGTTTCAGATGTAACTAGGCCTATAGAAAATGTATTACATCTGGCAGTTGTTTATTCTAAACAGGGCAGATCTAAACGGTTTTAATATTTAAAAAAAGCTCACTATTCACTACAGTATAGCTCCCTTTACCGCAGTTTTGTGTCCGTGCAGAGCTGTTAGAGCGTCCACACGAACAAGAAGGAAGACATAACTGGTAGAATTGTCATCAAATAGAGTTGCCATTCACTTCAGTTCACTAAAGGAAGCCATCTCTTGTGACTGTGTGGGGAGCAAGGCTTGTTGATGTGTAGATTTAGTGCCTAGTCAGAGGCAAGAAGTTGACCCCTTCGGATGCAGCCCCTTCACATTTACATAACCAGGATGGGCCTCATTTTTCTGTTGATATACAGTGAATATTGGGGTATTTTTTACTCAGAGGTCCCTCACCAGCAACAAAAGAGTTTTATCAGTTTTATCTCATCAACTTGTCTGAGCTTTTAAAAACAGTATCACAAATGAGTGTCCTCCAGCCCACTTGATGTAATACCTACAAAGTTTTTACTGAAAGTAATGGATTCTGTTGGGCCCCATTTGATCTGTTTTCAACAGCTCCCTATCTACTGGTTGTGTCCCTGATTATTTTAAAATGGCTTGCGTGAACCCACTTTTAAAGAAACCTGGTTTAGATCCCTCCCTCACACAAAGACCAATTTCAAAACTGCCTTTTATTGCAAAGATTCTAGAAAGAATTGTGTCCAAACAGCTGCTCACTGTACTGGAAAATAACAAAATATTTGAAAAGTTTCAATCGTGTTTCAGGAAGTACCACAGTACTGAGACTGCCCTGCTTAAAGTCACCAATGACCTTTTAATGTCTGCAGATGAAGGCATGTGCTCAGTCCTGGTACTCCTGGACCTTAGCGCTGCCTTTGACACCATTGATCACAACATCATGTTAGACAGACTGAGGCACTGGGTGGGGATCTCTGGTACTGCCCTAAAATGGTTTTCATCCTACCTGTCAAATAGGAAGTTTTGTGTGTCTCTAAACAACTATGTCTCTTCGTTCTGTCCAGTTAAATATGGTGTGCCTAAGGGGTCGGTCTTAGGACCCATTTTGTTTTCCTTGTATCTGCTTCCCCTTGGACATATTATCCATAAACATGGCATTTCTTTTCATATTTATGCTGATGACACACAAATATACTTGCCCGTCAGATCCACAGACCCTGGAATGCTGAGTTCACTTAACAACTGCCTTTGTGAAGTTAAAAAATGGATGTCAAATAATTTCCTCCAGCTGAACTCCTGGTCATCCGGTCCAGCAGATGGCAGTATTTGTTTTGCCATTTGCTGGTTCCCTAGTAAATCACATTAAGCCTGTGGCAAAGAACCTTGTTGTCTGGATAGTAATTTAAATTTCGAGCAGCACACCGCAAAGCTTGTTCAATCATGTTTTTATCAACTTAGAAATATAGCAAAAATTCGATCTATGTTAACTTTTAAGGACACCAAGAACATTTTACACGCCTTCATCTCATCACGCCTGGATTATTGCAACAGCCTTTTCACCTGTTGAACCCAAAAATCTACTGATCAACTCCAGACTGTCCAGAACTCAGCTGCCAGGCTTTTAACCAGAACAAAGAAATATGACCACATTACTCCTATTTTAGCTTCATTACACTGGCTCCCAGTATGTTTTAGAATTGACTTTAAAATTCTATTGATCACTTTTAAAGCTCTTCATGGCCTCTCGTCTTGTTATATTTCTGACCTTTTAGTCCCATACGCACCAGCACTTACCTTGAGATCGTCGGGCAGAGGTCTGTTGTCTGTTCCAGAGTCTCGACTGAAAACTAAAGGGGACAGAGCGTTTGCTGTCAGGGCCCTGAGGCTCTGGAACAGCCTGCCTGAGGAAATCAGGTCAGCTGAGTCAGTGAACTCTTAAGTCCCTTCTTAAAACATACTTTTATAGGAGAGCCTTTCCCGATCTTATTTGACTTTATTTTATCCCTTTTATTTTATTTTACTTATTTTATATTTATCTTAAACGTGTAGTTTGGTCTTTTCAATGTTTTCTTGCTTGTATTGTCTTTTGGGTATTGAATTGTTGTCTTTGCACTTGTTGAAGCACTGTTTTTGAAAAGTGCTCTACAAATAATTATTTTATTTTATTTTGAGAACCCATTCTCATCCTGTCTTTCCTGTTGTGATAAGTCCATTTTGAAAATTGGAAATTAAACTGTTGTGTGTGTGCATGTGCACAAATGCCTGCCGAGGCACATTCATGTGTTTCTCCTATGCTGTATGATTTAAAGGTACACGATTTAAGAGCTGGGATATCATACTGTAAGTAAATGCACTTAGTAACATAAGTATTAATGGGGTTTAAAAGTAGGGCTCACATTGTATGAACAGTGTGGAATATTTTAAGGTCTGAATGTAGTTTAAAACTAAAAGTATGAATAAAGAAGAATTGATGCTTCCACCATTCACACCAATTAATTGTTATGTCTTTGGCTATTTATCCCCAACAAAAATAGATCCCACATTAGAACAGAAACTGTATTTGTAGAATATTTACTTTTGAGAAATGAATCACTCTTTCCTTGGGAGAACATATTTTATTTATTTATTAAAAACATAACTGTGTATCATTAATCTGAAAATTGTGATCCTTTTTGTAGAAAAGTGAAAGGTTTGGCATTTATAGGTGCATAAACAAGGTTGCAGGTTTTTAGCTACAGCTACAATTTGGTGAAGGTGTTAGTCTTCAGCACAATCAAACACAAACACCGACATACATATTTTACAAACATACAAGAGCACTTATTACTAAAGCTTTGCATAACATACATACTTACATAAAAGCATTTACAAATATATGATCTTGAAAAAAGTTATCCATCAGAGTTATGCAATTTTTTCACAGATCCATTGCAGAGAAGTTTGACATGACAGGTCGTTCCAATGAGTGTCATCAGCATTGATTTGTACACAGTCCTCTTCACCCCACCGTGGGCTCCCACCACCATTATCAGGCTGATTTATCGCCCAGTACCTAGCAGTTCAGTAAACAAGTAAATCATGACACTGTTTTTTTACTTATTGAACACAGAAAAAACACGGTGTCTAATATCATCTTACAGTTTTTCTTAGTCACTTTGGTACATTTCACAGAAACCTTAGCCAAAGCATACATCAGAAAATACTTCAGACACTACACTGTAATGTCAACATGGCTCAACATTTTGACTATCTTGTTCATAAACAATGACACAAAGACTTGTCATTCTGATGGCACTGACAAGTTCACTGAATTAAATATTTACTTTTGAGAGATTAAGGATTTTTTTTAGTTACAGGCTTTTGCAGGTAATCCACTGTGTTTTTCTGTTTGTAACTGTTAAGTTACAAATGCAAATGTTGAGGGGTGGCAATGGTGCAGTATTTAAGGTACATGTCTTTGGTATGGGAGACCTGTGTTCAATTCCCATTTGTCACACATCCACCATTGCATATACAGTATACGCGTAAATGTGAACCCTGGGAAGTCTCTTGCTATGTATACTGTTTATATCAATTGTAGTGATGAAATGAATATATGCCATATTAACAACGTGCAGCATTGTGCATTTTCAATCATTGTCATCAAAACCCTAGCCATAGTTTACATCAGAAAATTGCTATAGACTTCCAGTTCATCTGAAGGATGGCAGCGTAGGAAAAGGGCTCTTGACAAAAGTAAAAGGAATATGCCCCTGTAGGCGAAATAACTCACGTTTCATATTTCTCTACAATTTGTTTATTTAGAAAGGGGGTGAGAATGACGTCTAAACAAGAGTAAAAAGTCGATTCTGTATATTGATAAAACTAAAGAAGTGAAGCAAGAAGAGGATGCTAACTCCACACTTGCTGGCCAGGGCAGCGACAGAATGGAGAGCGATGAAGACCCAGTGAACCTGACACTAATCCTCAGAGAGATACCGGGATTTCAGAAAAGACAACAAAAAACAATTGGAAGACATTAAGAGAGAGAAGGGGCAGGAGGAGAAGGAGGAGGACAGGGAAGAGAAGCAGCAGGAGGAGAAGGTAAACAGAACCAGACAAAACAGTGACAGGTACAGGGGCAGTGTGTTTTTAGAATTAAAGAATGGATTATTTACTACTGATCTTCTCGTGCATATGTACAGTGGATATAAAAAGTCTAAACATCCTTGTTAAAATGCCAGGTTCTTATGATGTAAAATAATGAGACAAAGATAAATCATGTCAGAACTCTTTCCACCTTTAATGTGACCGATAATGTGAACAATTCAAAAGAAAAACAAAGGGAAATCTTCGAGGGGGAAAAATGAAAAATAAAAACCTTACAATAACCTGGTTGCATAAGTGTGCACACCCTCTTATAACTGGGGATGTGGCTGTGTTCAGAATTAACCAATCACATTCAAACTCAGGTTAACTAGAAGTCATTACACACATGCCATCATTTGAAGTGACTCTGATTAATCACAAATAAAGTTCAGCTGTTCTAGTAGGATTTTCCTGATATTTTCTTAGTTGCATCTCCGAGCAAAAGCCATGGTCCGCAGAGAGCTTTCAAAGCATCAGAGTGACCTCATTGTTGAAAGACACAAGTTGGGAAACGGGTACAAAAGAATTTCCAAAGCATGAGATATACCATGGAACACAGTGAAGACAGTCATCATCAAGTGGAGAAAATATGGCACTGTGACTGTGACTTTACCAAGAACTGGACGTCCCTCCAAAATTGATGAAAAGACGAAAAGAAAAGTGTTCAAGGAGGCTTCCAAGAGGCCTACAGCAACATTAAAGGAACTGCAGGAATTTCTGGCAAGTACTGGCTGTGTGGTACATGTGACAACTATCTCCCTTATTCTTCATATGAATGGGCTATGGGGTAGGGTGGCAAGACGGAAGCCTTTTCTTACAAAGAAAAACATCCAAGCACGGCTGAAGTTTGCAAAAGCAAACATTAAGTCCTCCAAAAGCATGTGGGAAAATGTGTTATGGTCTGATAAAACCAAGGTAGAACTTTCTGGCTATAATTCCAAAAGGTATGTTTAGCGCAAAAACAACACTTCACATCACCCAAGGAGCACCATACTCACAGTGAAGCATGGTGGTGGCAGCATCATGCTTTGGGGCTGTTTCTTCAGCTGAAACCGGGGCCTTAGTCAGGGTGGCGTCAGCACGCTCTTCTTCGCATTGAGCCGCAGCCCCAAACGCTGAAGGTGGGCGAGGATGACATCTCGATGCCGAACCGCTAACTGCCGAGACTGAGCCAAGATGAGCCAGTCATCAATGTAGTTTAATATGCGGAGCCTCAGCGGGGCCAGAGCTGCATCCATGCATTTGGTGAACGTGCGAGGAGAGAGTGCTAGGCCGAACGGAAGAACCCGATACTGGTACGCCGCGCCCCCGAAGGTGAACCTAAGGAACTTCCTGTGAGAGGGACGGATGGAGATGTGGAAATATGCTTCTCGTAGATCTGTCATGACAAACCAATTGGATGTGACTGATGGCGGGGATGGTAAGCATCCTGAACCTGAATCTCCTCAGAGATTGGTTCAGGAACCGCAGATCCAAAATCGGACGCAACCCATCCATCCTTCTTCGGAACTATGAAGTACCGGCTGTAGAACCCGGACTCCCTGGCTGGGAAATAAGCTCTCTGGCCCCGTTTTCCAGCAGAGAGCGAACTTCCCCTCGGGGCTGGTGGCCGGTGTTATGCGTAGGTCCCCGGTGGCACCTTGAAGCGGAGGACCGCCAGGGAAAACTCGCCAGCGACCCACGGTGTGTGAGCCCAGACGGCGGGAAAAACAGCACCTGTTGCCTGAGCCGCCACGAGGGAGGGGACCTCGGTCAGCCTCCCGGGGGGCTGTTCCCTGCGTTTCTGCGTGCTGAAACCTGCTGACGACAGCATCCACTGCCTCACCAAACAGGCCAGTAGCCCCTCGGGGCTGGTGGCCGGTGTTATGCATAGGTCCCCAGTGGCACCCTGAAGCGGAAGACCGCCAGGGAAAACTCGCCGGCGACCCACGGTGTGTGAGCCTGATCGTTTTCCAGCTGCAACCCCTCGAGGCGGGCAGACTGGTGAGAGCTCGCTGGCGGTTAGCGTATCCCGAGCGCCAAGACGGCGGGAAAACAGCGCCTGTTGCCTGAGCCGCCACAAGGGAGGGGACCTCGGTCAGCCTCTCGGGGGGCGTCAGGGTTTGTTGAGGGCGACTACGGGAAGCGACGCTTCGCTTCTGGCTCCGGCGGTAGGAGCTAGACGAGGGCTGAGCTTGTCTCTCTTCAGCCGTCCTGGATCCAGACCGGCGGGGGAGATATTGCTCAAACGCCTCTCCCTGCGTTTCAGCGTGCTGAAACCTGCTGATGACAGCATCCACCGCCTCACCAAACAGGCCAGTAGGAGAGAGGGGCACATCCAGGAGAAAAGCCTTCTCCTTCCCCTGGATGCCCGAGAGGTTGAGCCACAGATGGCGCTCCGTAGCCACCAATGCTGCCATGGAGCAGCCAAAGCTTAGTAACACAGACCGTTTAAGTTTGTAGCTCTACGGAGCTCAGTCAGGTCCTCCTCAGAGGGACCTCCCCCTAGGTCATAGTCTTGAGAAGATCGGCATGGTACGCCTGCAAGATGGCCATGGTGTGCAGGCTTGCACCAGCTCGACCCACTGCCATGTAGGCCTTGCCCACCAAAGCGGATGTTTCTTCTGACACAGCTTGGTGGGGAGTGCCGACATCTGAAGGAACGAAGCGAGAGTGGGAGAAAGATAGCTCACGAGCGCTTCCTCCCCCCAAGGCATCGTTCCGTTCTCTTTAGCCGTGTTTCTGTCACGCTGCTGTAGTCCAGCAGAGGGGACACAGTCAGCCGTGCAGAGCAGCTTTTTTTTTTTTTGGTCTGTTCCATAATTTACATAACTCATTGTGCAAATCAGGAGAGAACGCGGGGGTGGCGCTCAGGCTGCAGAAAAGCTCATAGAGGTTACTCCCCGCCTCTCATATCTGGGCGCGGTCTGATGACGTCTGCCCGGCTCCCGGAAGTCATCCTACAAGATGCTAAGCACATCTAGCTCCTCAGCCTCCCCAAACTCATACCTCAGGCGGGAGAAGGCCGAGAAACGGACTCCCAAACGTGGGAAGAGAGGAGGCGGAGTCAGCAGACGAGGAACGGGAATAAATCAGAGTATAGGAATAAATATAAACGAATCAAGACACAAGCAGACACATCCCCACTGAACTAACACCAACAAGGAACACAAACAAAGCTAAGTAAAACACTGAACTGGGAGCTAAGGCATCAAGAAGACAGACATGAGTGACAGACAGAGACGGACATGAGTGAACCCCAAAACACAACAGACTATATAACTGATACTGGACACAGGACAGAACCCAAAACAATAAGACATGAACCGAGACACAGAACGAGGAGCTAAGACACAGAATACAGAGCAGACTAAACTAAAATAATGCAGACGAAGAACAAGAAGTAAATGCTAAAACATAACTGAGGCACAGGACTGGGAACAAAGACAAAGAACTAAAATACAGGACCAAGAGCTAAGATAAAAGACGAGACATAAACTACTAAGGACAAGGAACGAGAGAAACAGGCAAATAGACATATGAAACAATGGCAAAAACTCAAACTCACAGGGAAAAAACTACAACTCATAACAAAGACAGAGCTTCCTTCTATCAATTCATCACTTGTGTTAGATTTAAATGTGTCTCTTCAGTTTTCTGGTGCCATTTCAGGTATGTGTTGCCTTGCAGCCATCTTTGGCTCAATACTTATGGAAGTTGACAAAACATAGAAAGTCAACAAAATGCATTACATTATCAACAAGTGAAAACAAGCTATTAGGTAAATAGGTTTCCTCCCTATCTTATACTCATACCCGTCATTGCAATTTTTTCCTCACTACTCTTCTTCACTCTTTTCCTCATCTGCCTTCTTAGACTCATCCTCACAATCACTCTTACTTTTCTTTCCAGCAACTCACTGTTTTCCTCACTACTAAATCCTTATTCATCCTCACTACCATCAACTGGAAGTGCCCTTGTCTTTAATGAACCATAGAAAACCTTTGTGTTCATCCTCTAAATGGAAGAACAATGTAACCCTATATAAGCATGTGCTCTGCAGGCAGGATAACAAAGTGTAAGATTAAAATATCCGGTGTAATACATAGTGTAATTTTTTTATTACAGTGTTATTACAACAAACATTATCAAATGTATAATTAATTAATTAATTAATTAATGTAAAATGAGAGAAAATTATGTTAACTGTTATGCTTTTGATCAGTACATAAACCGAATGCACAACACCAAAAAATGGCATGGCAGGATTCCATAATTGTATGATGTTGCTTCAAGGCAACATTTGCATTTTAACTATTTTCCATTATATAATTATCAAATAAATTATATTAAACAACTAACAATGAAACTTAACTTACCTATTATTGTGAATATAATTTTTCTGGGTCAAAAAATGGCTTTGAGGGCAGTTTAGTGCAGAGAGTAAATGGAGCTGAGCCATGTGTCAAAAGCAGCAGTAAAAGGATTCCTAATGAGTGCCAGAGAATCATGTGACAAATTTTAACACTGCTATTGGTTTCCTTAAGGCCCTGCAACTCTTTTAAAGTAATGCATCATATTTTGGGATGTTTGATGGAGGTGTACTAGGGCAAAAAGGGTATGTTGCCCAGAGGCAACACCGTACCATAGAGGGATATATATATATATATACATACACATATTTATATGTATATATTCTGATAAACAACTATGTATGTATGTATGTATAATGTCTGTATTCAACCAAAGCAAAGTCTTACTTCCGAGTAAATGGAGTTCCATCTATCCATTTCCAGACACCCTCCTGATCTTTGTCGTTCAACCCAATCCAAATGGTTTTCTTGGAAAACTCTGAGACAAACTTCTGTTCAATGTAAATAAATCCACATTATATTTGAGTTTTAAAAACAATATACATGCAGTTTGTAAGTATTTATCTAAACTTATCTAGAAAAAAGTAAATAATAATTTAAAATGTAAAATCGTTATTGTAACCTAGTCGTTAAATATTGTTGTGTATGTTCAGATATGTATTGATTAAATACATACACAGTATACAATGGTTTTATAATTGTTCTAAAACATAGAAAAGGTAATGGTAACTAACACAGTTACAAAACACACACACACACACACACACACACACACACACACACACACACAGTACCTGCTCTTCAGGGGTGTTTATCACCAACAGATCTGCTCCTTTGCCTTTACAGTCCTCTCTGCCTTTATCCCAAGAACCAGACTTATCAGAGAGGAAATAACAGTTATGACTGAACATCTTCCATCCTGCAGGACAGGTTTTCTCTGTAAGATACATCAAGAGGCATTATAGATCAACATTACACTCATGTCTATATAATTGTAAAGTTAGTTCTATAGAACAACTAACATTAGGTTGGTGTAACTTTGTTGAAACGTTTGACTCCAAATTCTTATTTTTCAGCATTTTTTAATCTGATTGACTGATTACGATGGTAATTATACACAGAACATAACAAAAGTTCAAAAAGACAAAAGATTTTGCACCATATATGTTGTCTCATTTACGAGTTTCATCTTATGTGGTGTGAAGCCAAGACAGCAAGACAGAATAATTAGCAGTGTGGTCAGCAGTTTGGCATTCAGTATAAAACTGTAGAATTTGTCATCTTCGAAAAGAGAAAGATTTTTTGTCACAATGTAGTGACACGCAAAGAGGACACCATTTTGCCAGTGGTCTATAATCATGTATTGATAAATACATCACACATTTATGTTTGGCTGAATCATACTGTAGGTATATTCAAAAAGCAGAGTGACTAAATCATTGAATTTCTGAGTAAATGTTAAAAGATACACAGCAAGTAAATCTAAATACCACATGCACACGGTTTGGACTAACTCTGAAGCTTTTCCAACTCTTCAGTCCTTTTAATGAGGCTGGCATTCAGCAGGTCTCTCTCTTTAGTCAGGGAAGAAAGCTTGTTATCTCTGGCCTGGAGAAGCTCAGTCAGGTTCACTTTGATAGAGGAGAGTTCTGCAGCTGAACGCTGTGCTGAATCATGGTCTGAAATAATCAAGAGACATTTCTCTGAAACACAAGATACCTTCTGCATTTATGTCAGACAGAAACAGTTATTGTATTTCAGGATATTACATATTATTTGCCCCAAGATTATGGAATATGATTATACTTTACCAACCAATGAAATATTGCCACTCAAAGAATGCAGTGAAACTCTATGGTAGACTTTAGTGAGTGGAACATATTTAACATGAATTTAAATGGGCCATCACTAACATAAATCAGCTGGGGACATGTCCGCACTACTTTTTGAAAAGGCTGATTTTGTCCCCATCACTTTTTGAAAGCATTTCTTAGAATAGTTCTCAAAAAACTTGCAACAGACATATAACTTCAACAGTTATATTTTTATATATTGAATCTTCACCTGCCACCTAAATTTTGTGTTTCCCTTTATATAAATAAAACATTTCCACCAGAAATCAGTGCAGAAAATGTCTCCAGAATGCAAGAAAATAAGTAGGCCTTATGGAATGCTCACAAATTTCAGGGGGAGCCCCCCCCCCCCCCCGTCCCCCTTTCATATATTTCAGTATTTAATATTTCTTTCAGAAAGTCTGGTAGTTGTGAACCCAGTACTTTGCCTTGTCTTGTGAGCTAATCAGCGTGTCATCACACCCCTAATCTGAGCCCTTATGTCCCCCACCACTTTTCAACACAAAGTGACACCCTTGCAAGCCTGTCAGCAGTAGAGTAAGTAAGTTGCAAGTAAGTTGATGGATAAATGCTGAAATGATTCAAATATGTCACCATTGTTTTGTTGTTCAAAATACTGAAAACAAGACAATAAACCAAACAAATAGATCAGAAAAAATCCTGGACGAAAAGTGAAAAAGTGACACAACGCATTCAAAGTAGAATATTGCTCCTATAATCATAAGTTCAGCGTAACATTAACTTCTAAATGTTAACCAGACTCACGGTGGACACCGAGGCCAATTAGCCCAGTAGAAAACACTTAGCAACCCCAGGCGAACTGATCTGTATGTAACAGATCATTTAAGATGTTCTCTGAATCATGTTCTATACATGACACTGTAGTGGATCCTGACCTTCATGTTAAGAGACAGCTGTGCAGAACCCACACAGGCAAGCACTCACTCTGTTTGGACAAACTCTGAAGCTTGTCCAACTCTTCAGTAATTTCACTGAGGCTGGCATTCAGTCGGTCTCTCTCTTCAGTCACAGAAGACATCTCGTTATTAATGCTCTGGAGACGCTCCGTCAGGTTGGCTTTCACAGTGGAGAGTTTTGCAGATGAATCACGTACTGATTCATGGTCTGGAATAAATCAAGATACATGTTTCTTAAACAGAAAATGCTTATTCTGGCTTAAGTTTCTATGCTTAAGTAAGCATTTTGCTACTCTAGCTGCTTGGATATGACTTTGGGTCGTATCCAAAATCATGGGTGGGAAAAGTAATTTTCATAACAAATATATTTACAAAACAAGCACTTCATGAGGTCAATGTTCAATTTTATTATGTGGTGCTTTTCAAAATCAGATGTAAAAAGTGCTTAAATGCAAACAAGTAAAGAAAAAATGACAAACACGTTCATCTTTCAGAGCAGAATAACGCTCTTGAAAATCACAAGTTCAAACTGACGTTAATGTATAAAAAAACAGACTCACAGTGAACACCGAGGCCAATGAGCCCAGCCATCAGGAAAACACACAGCAGCCCCAGACAGAGAACAACAGCTCCATGAAATCTCCTTTCTGAGCACCTGGGACCTGAACACAGAATACAGTCAAGGATACAATAATAATAATAATGACAGATAATAATACACTTTTCTGCAGAGCTCAGTCAGTCAGCCTCTAATTATTCTTACTTGTCTGAGTTTGTGATGGTTTGGAGTCAAGACATTTGTCATATCCAACATTTACATAGATTTCCTCCATCGCTCATAAGAATGCTAAATACTTTGCGAAGAATCGACTTCACAGCACAAGTTACTCAACATGTAAATGGAGAAACTCTTGTTGGTTTCAGTTGTTTTAAACTTTAGCTTATCAGGAAGTCACACATCATAGATGGGGAATATAGTTTGTGTGACACACGCCTGTCACTACACTTGAAACATGAAATATTAGAAACTACATTTACTTAAGACGTTGCTGAGGAGAGGGATGTCTGGATTACAGTGCTTAATCTGCTGTAGAAAATGTATGGTTAACACAAATGCACAACATGACTTTAAACATGAATCTGTATTCTTCACAGTTTGAGACGACTCGCTAAATATATCTAAAGAGCCCCCTTTGTTGCCCAGACTTCCTCCAACCACCGGCGGATCAATGAATTTAAGGTTTCTCAGCCTGGTCTGTCTCTTCAGACAGCCCGAATACCTTTTTACAGTGTGACGGATGGATCCAGGTGGCTCATTCAGCGATCTTTAGTGCTGTGGCAGTGGTGAGTAGGACATGGAACGGGCCTTCCCACCTTGGACTGGACGAGGTCTTTCTTTTTATGGCTTTGATCAGCGCCCAGTCCCCTGCTGTACCGCTGGATCTTCAGGTGTCAGAGTGGTTCCTGGAACAGAATTAACGGAAGAGATCTCTCTCCTTGTTAACATTTGTGCCATATAATCTGCCAGTGTCTGTTCTCTTTCTTCATCAGCTCTAAGAAATGGTTTAAGCTGTGGAATATTGTATGGTCTGCCATACATCATCTCAAAAGGAATCAGTCTTGTTGATGTAGGTGTGGTGAGGTGCATGTTCAATACTACTAGGGGGAGACAAAACAACCAGTTCTTGACTTTAACCTTCTTTGGATAACCAACTTTCCTGTCTCTACTACAGTTTTCTACAGTTTTGATTTTATCGTTCCATTATGTCTTTCCACTAGTCCTGCGGACTGTGGGTGGTATGCACAGTGGTTTTCTAGTTTGATCATAAGTGTTTGTGCCATAAATGTCATTATTTACAAAATGTGGGCCATTGTCAATATATAGTTTCTCTGGGATGCCATACCATGGGATTATTTCTTTTACTATAGCTTTAGCTACTGTTAAAGCATCAGCGTGTGCACATGGAAATACTTCAACCCACTTTGTAAACATATCCATAATTACTAAACAATATTTCTTTCCTTCACATAGAACCTTTTTTGCTGTAAATACTTTGCTACCATCCCTCCTGTTGAGACATGGCATGGCCCATGGCTCAGTAATGCAGCATATTTAAATAAGCTGTTGGGAAGGATAGGTTTCCCTTCTGTTCAGGTATATAATCCTGTGTCTGCGTTTAATATGGCTCCTTTGTTTTTCCATTTTGCTTTCTCTGTATGTGTTGCGTTGTTCTGCATGTCTTTTGATACTTGATCTATATTAAGATCATGTGTGTTAGAGAGCAGCACATCTGTAGCGAGTGTGGCCTTCTTAGCTTCCTCATCTGCTTTGTGGTTTCCTGGTGAATTAGGATCTGTGTTTTTTGTGTGTGCTGCACATTTACAAATCGCATCCTCGTTTTATAGCTGTATTGCTGCCTATAAGTTCAGTTTGAGGCCTTTATAATTTATTGGTTTCCCAGTGTCCCTATTGTTGTGCAAACACATGTAACAGTTGAAAATGCATATTGGCTATCCGTGTAGATGTTAGCTATTTTGTTCTCAGCTAATTTGCATGCTTCAGTTAGAGCTACTAATTCAGCTGCTTGTGCAGAATAATGTTTTGGTAATGGCTTAGCCATTAGTACTTTGTCAAGAGTTACCAATGCAAATCCTGTTGCATTCATACCGTCTGGATTTTTCCCTGCTTGAGCCCTCTACAAACAAAGTCAACTGTGCTTCATCATATGGTGTGTCAGTCAAGCCTGGTCTCGGCAAGACACTTTGTGTTGTGTCTGACAGGCAGTCATGTGTTGTTCCATCAGTCTCTACTGGTAATAAAGTGGATGGATTCAAAGTTGTACATCGTTCTATAGTCAGGTGTGGTTGTGACAACAATACATGCATGAGAGATGTCTAGAAGGTGATAAGTAAGAAATCTTGTTTTGTAACAGTATTACAGTTACTGCATGAGGCACCATTAACACTAAGGGGTGAAATAACACTATGGTTGCTGATGCCTGAACTGCCATAGATGCGACTACTACTGACTGCACACAGACAGGTAGGGCTCTAGCCACAGCGTCGAGTTTACTGGAAAAGTAGGCAATTTGCCTGTTTTCCCCCATAGCTTTGCATCAGTACTGAGGTCATGAATCCATCTTTGCAATCAACTGTCTGTACAAACTCTTTTGAATAGTCTGGTAAGTCTAACACTGCTGAACTCACTAAAAGCTGTTTTATTTTTACAAAAGC